AAATGAGGACAATAGAAGCAATCAAAACCAACAAAAGAGCAGTAATATGCAAGTGCTATATTAGTATATTATTATAGTATTATATTTCAATTTCACAAAGAAATGTGCAGCATTTTGTCCAAGCAATAATAAAAGGACACATTTAATTTATAATTTGTCTTAAATCTAATTTTGTTAAAAAAAATTATAATAATCGTGAATCGAATCGAATCACGAAATCAAAATCAAAACCGTGAATCGAATCGAATCGTGAGTTGAGTGAATCGTTACATCCCTAAATTTGAGGTTTAGTGTTAATTCATGGATGTTATAAGAAATTACTCAACGTTGGAGTCGCTTTAAGCCCAGTTTAAGTATACTTCAGTTTTGACACAAATGCTAAAATACAGCCAAATGCACAGCCTTTTAAAGTATACTCCAACTGATCCAATTAAACTCAAACTGTCGACACATGCCCACTTGAAAGTAGCTTCTTTGTCCACTGTCTGTGCTATTAGCCTGCTACTGTAGTGAAACTGCAACTACGTGTATAGATTATTATACAAATAAATACATTTGTGAGAAATGTCTTTAAACATTTTCATGGCAATGCGTTTATTGTGATGAGAGCTTACTGCCATGACAGCTGATGTGTAGTTACGTGTTCAAGTCCTCCTGGGAAGTTGATATTTACGAGCTGGGAAGTAGTAATTACCATGTCTGGTGCAATCAAGTCACTTTGGCCGGCGCAATATAGCAATGAACCTTATCTACAAAAAAATTAAGCAAGATTTTTTAACTCTACTTCTACAAAATGCTGAATGAAGAATGTACATCAGGTGTATTTTTGCTTTTTTTTAAGGTTTTGTTCAATTATGAACATGCTGTAAACTGAATATTATACATTCTATCATAATTGCACAGTACAATCACATTTTGTACATGCACCTTTGCCATTTTTATTGTAAATGAAATAACTTCATTTCAACAAATCTATAGTCAATATAGATTCTGCAGCTATTGTATTAGACATGTTTTTTTTTCACCAACATGCCCCCAACTTGAAACCGCAGGGCTTTGTGGTGCCATTTATGTGCATTAAATTCATAAAAGCAATCTTTCCTACATGACTTGAACACACTATAAAACATGAGTCATCGTCAACAAAGAAGCTACTTTAAATCTAAGCTACATATTAACTGGAAGCTGCTCCTGCATGGCTAGGTAACTTGCATTTGTATTGCTATTGGAGACTAAAATGTGTGTGACATTGTAAATAGATTTTATAGTATTGTGTTTATGCTTTGCACCTGTGACTACTTATGTTTGCCACCACTTTCGTGTGTAACAAACTGTGATGTTGATGATTGGTCAAATATGCATAGCAATTTCTAAATACACTCCAATCACCACTGAGAACAAATTACAAAATTGGAACGAATGGGTGTTCCGAGTAGTGCATACAGAAAAACAGTTGAACATTCACTAGGGGCCAGTCGCGTAGCTACGGGTGGGCCTGGGCCTACCCACCAGTCAGTTGCTTCACAAGGTAGCCTAATCATTGTGAATTCTGTTGCAATAATCACAATACTTGACCTATAAAAAATAAATTGTGTTGTTTCTTAATTCTTGTTTGCCATAATGATGGAGCTAAGTTTGCAAACAGCTCCTTGCCGCTTAGCTACAGCAGGATGCCGTTATACATGCCTTTGTCCATATTAGGGTTTTCCTGGCACGTCACGTTACTTCTATGAGTCCGTTTTGTGCTTTCTGCGCGAGAGCGCCCTCCGGCTTCAAGCAAGATTGAAACGTCCCCCGCGTATTCTACACTCAAGGAGCTGAACAGCTCTGCTAGTGCTAACGTTAATTCACCTATTTCTCCATCACCAGCAGCGTTCCATTCTCCAGCATCTACCTCCCCTACACGCCAGCTTATAGGTACATTAATCTACATTTTACTACTATGTAGTTGTTGCCTAGTCACTGTTGTTTATTTTGTTTATGTGGCCCCTGAGCCAGACTATGACCAAGCATGGTTACATACTGTCCACTGCTGTACTACTAGCTACTGTCCTGCTGATTTGATGCTGTCCGTCTGTCAGATGCGCGCGCGTGTGGTGTGGCCGCCGTGCTCATGCTGTTCTTATCGTTATGTTCTTAACACTGCCTATAATGACATACAGGCTTATGCTCTGATTAAACGGTGATGTGTATTCAAGCAGGTGTAACTGTTAGTTGTGTTGGCCTATTTTGATTACAGATGCATTTTAGGCTAGGCCCACCCAATTTTCTCTGGGGGGTTTTCCTGGCACGTCACGTTACTTCTATGAGTCCGTTTTGTACTTTCTGCAGAGAGAGCGCCCTCCGGCTTCGAGTATGAATGAAACGTCCCCTGCGTATTCCACGCTCAAGCAGCTGAACAGCTCTGCTAGTGCTAACGTTAATTCACCTATTTCTCCATCACCAGCAGCGTTCCATTCTCCAGCATCTACCTCCCCTACACGCCAGTGTATAGGTACATTAATCTACATTTTACTACTATGTAGTTGTTGCCTAGTCACTGTTGTTTATTTTGTTTATGTGGCCCCTGAGCCAGACTATGACCAAGCATGGTTACATACTGTCCACTGCTGTACTACTAGCTACTGTCCTGCTGATTTGATGCTGTCCGTCTGTCAGATGCGCGCGCGTGTGGTGTGGCCGCCGTGCTCATGCTGTTCTTATCGTTATGTTCTTAACACTGCCTATAATGACATACAGGCTTATGCTCTGATTAAACGGTGATGTGTATTCAAGCAGGTGTAACTGTTAGTTGTGTAGCTATTAGTTCAGCTCTGTTTCTCACACAATAAGGTGAAGGCCTATTTTGATTACAGATGCGATTTTAGGCTAGGCCCACCCAATTTTCTCTGGGCCCACCCACATTGTAATTTCTGGCTACGCTAGTGCTAGGGGCGTTTGAATCTACATTTTACTACTATGTAGTTGTTGCCTAGTCACTGTTGTTTATTTTGTTTATGTGGCCGCTGAGCCAGACTATGACCAAGCATGGTTACATACTGTCCACTGCTGTACTACTAGCTACTCTCCTGCTGATTTGATGCTGTCCGTCTGTCAGATGCGCGCGCGTGTGGTGTGGCCGCCGTGCTCATGCTGTTCTTATCGTTATGTTCTTAACACTGCCTATAATGACATACAGGCTTATGCTCTGATTAAACGGTGATGTGTATTCAAGCAGGTGTAACTGTTAGTTGTGTAGCTATTAGTTCAGCTCTGTTTCTCACACAATAAGGTGAAGGCCTATTTTGATTACAGATGCGATTTTAGGCTAGGCCCACCCAATTTTCTCTGGGCCCACCCACATTGTAATTTCTGGCTACGCTAGTGCTAGGGGCGTTTTCAAACCTGGCTCGTTGGGAGTGTTTGTTATCCAAACCTGCACATTTTTTTCCTTAGTTTGGTTTGTTTTCGTTTGCAAATGATCTTCTCTGAACAGGGTGCATTGCAAGGATGCGTTGCAGTATCCA